TGGGCAAATTATTGAATGATGCAGAAAGCACCAAAAGAAGATGGAAGGAATAGACAAAGTCACTGTACCAAAAGGAAATGGTTAATGTTCAACCGTTTCAAGAGGTAGCATATGATCAAGAGCCAATGATAATTTAGGAGGAAGTTCAAGGTGCAGTGAAGGAATTGGCAAAGAACAAGGTCCCAGGAATTGATGGAATAAAAATTGAAATCTTTCAAGAAAATGAGGCAGCACAGGAGGCACTCATTCATCTATGCCAAGAAATTTGGAAGACAACTATCTGGCTGACTGATTGGAAGAAATCCGTTTTTTTGCCCATTTCAAAGAGAGGTGACCCAACGGAATGCAGAAATCATCAGACAATATCTTTGATATCCCATGCGAGTAGTTTTACTAAAGGAAATACAGAAACAGCTCCAAGCATACACTGACAAAGAACTTCCAGAAGTTCAAGCCAGGTTCAAAAGAGACTGTGGAACGAGGGTATCATTCGTCTGATGGATCTTGGCTGAAAGGAGAGAATACTAGAAAGATGTTTATGTGTGCTTTATTGACTATACAAAGGCTTTCGATTGTGTGGATTATGACAAGCTATGGACAATATTGCAAAGTATGAGTATTCCAGAACACTTAATTGTGCTCATGAGGAATCTGTACATAGATTAAATCTGTACATGGATTAAATGTTCCAATTAAGAGACATAAAAAGCAGAATGGATAAGAAAACAGGATCCTTCAATATACTGACTATAAGAGACATATCAAAAAGATGGAGCCATCCTAAATGCCCATTAACAGAAGAATGGGTAAATAAACTTTGGTACATACACACAATGGAATACTACAAAATGTTGAAGAATAATAGTGAAGCTGTGAAACACCTCACAACATGTTTGAACCTGGAGGACATTAAACTGAGTAAAAGTAATCAATCACAAAAGAACAAACATTGTATGAGACCAATATTGTAAAAGTTTTCAAAAAAAAAAAAGGTGTTCTTGTTAAAAGAAACTATCTATGATGGTTCTGGGAGTGAAGGGAAATTATTCATGAGCTTGAGGGTACATACATGTTAACATGGGTGACAAGGCAAGCAATATACAGCAATTAGCTGAGGAAAGCTAAATATGGAAGGTAGTGGGAGACACAGGGAGGAATGCAAGTTAAACTGAATAGAGGTCAATGCTGTTAACTGTTGGTATTGGAGGGGATTATAACCATGTAATGAGCAGACTGCATGATTTGTTGCATGTAAAACTGATTATTTGCTCTATAAACCTTCACTCGATTCACAATAAAAAGCTAAAAAACAAAAACAAAGACAACAGTTTATGAAAAGCAGTGGAACATTGTTTGATATAGTGCCAGAAGATGAGCCCATTAGGCTGGAAGGCACTCAACATATGTCTGGAGAAGAGCTGTCTTCTCAAAGTAGAGTCACTGAGCACCCTTGGGCAAAGCTTTCAGGACCTTCACTTGTTGATGGGCCACACTCAAAATGAAAAGAAACAGCTGCAAACATTCATTAATAATTGTTTTTGTTCCATTGAGTCAGCTCTGACTCATAGTGACCCTGTGCACACCACAACAAAACACTGCTGGTCCTGCGCCATCTTCACAATTGTTATGTTTGAGCCCATTGCTGCTGCCACTGTGCCAGTCAATCTCATTGTGGGGTGGGGGGCGTCTTCCTCTTTCTTTCTGACCATCCACTTTACCAAGCGTGTTGTCCTTCTACAGGGGCTGGCCCCTCCTGATAACATGTCTGAAGTATAAGAGAGGAAGTCTTGCCATCCTGGCTTATAAGGAGCAGTCTGTCTCTACTGCTAACCAGATGTGTGTTCCAACACAGAATACTGAAAGCCCATAGTACTTTTCAATATTCTTCACTACCGTAACTCAAAAGCATCAATTCTTGTATGGTCTTCCTTATTCTCTATCCAACATTCATGGGTATATGAGGCTATTGAAAATACCATGGCTTGGGTCAGGCATACCTTAGTCTTCAAGCTGATATCTTTGTTCTTGAACATTTTATAGTCTTGTGCAGCAGATTTGCCTAGTGCAATGTGTTGTTTGATTTCTTGACTCCAGTTTCCATGTAGATCCAAACAAAAGGAAATCTTTGATAACTTCAATCTTTCCTCCATTTATTACCATGTTATTTTTTATCCACTTGTGAGGAGGTTTTTTTTTTTTTTAAGTTGTAGTCTTTGATCTTCATTGGAATGTGGAATGTATAAAATATGAATCTAGGAAAATTGGAAGTTGTCAAAAATTAAACATATAAAAATCAATATCCTAGGCATTAGTGAGCTAAAATGGACTGGTACTGACCATTTTTAATCTGACAGTCATATAGTTTACTATGCCTTGAATGACAAACTGAGAGTGTGCTATAGTGAATAATGACTCATCTAATCATGGTCTTTGTAAGTCCACCGAATGACTGAGTAAGATATGCAAGTTGAGTGTATGGGACTCTAATGTGGTGATTGGTCAATGTGGTCATTCCATTGGTTATAAAATGAGTCATCTCAGAAGCAGTATAACACCTCACAACTTTACCCTGAGATCCCTATGTAGAGAAACAGTGGTGGCAGAGGTGGCAACATCAAGATCACAAGAAAGAGCAACAGGCTGCCTGGTCCATGGAACAAGTGAAACTGAGTGCCTTTGGACAGGAAGCTGGAGATCACCAGTTCTAAAGGAGTCCTGGTGTGGCACTGTGGGTTAATGTGTCAGACTGCAAAACTGTTTGAACTGTAAGGTCAGCAGTTCAATCTTACCAACTGCTAGGGTCGCTATGAAACCCTATACAGGGTCGCTATGGGTCGGAACTGATTCGACGGCACTTTACAACAACAAAGGAGCTTAGTAACAATTGCCCAATTAGGGGGGAGGCCAAGAATCAGAAAGAGATGAGTCTATGGGCACAGCTGAGAAGAGCTGCTCCTGATCCTAAGGACTGCATTCTGATCCTGAATTGGATCCTGTTAACTTCTTTAATATACCTCCTAATCATGTGTGCTGTCTATGAGCTCTGTGTGGCCACTGCAACAGATTATCAAACCCAACAGAAAAGTGGAAATCACTGTGGAAGGGATGATTGGTATAAGGATTGGTAAAGAAGGGTGGAGAGTAAGAACTATGTCTCATAAGAATCAAGATGGGCTGATGTTGAGTTGAATTGTGGTTCCTCCTTGTGTACTTGTGGTCAGACACTGCGTCTACACCATTTACGCAAAGAATAGCATCACATTCATCATCGAAAAGAACATTTCAAACTTTATCTTGAAGTACAATGCTGTCTGTGATAGAATAATATTCATATACTTACAAGGAAGACCAGTTAATAAGACCATTATTCAAATTTATGCACCAACCTCTAAAACCAAGGATGAAGAAACTGACTGAGGACTACCACTGTCTTGGAGTCCTAGCATGGTACCCAGCCGGTAGCTCCACTCTCCTTTCGAGTCCTCTGTGGCCACGCCACTGACTCTGGGCCCAAGAGTCCCCAGGCCTCTTCACACTGCTTGCCAACCAGGTCCCTAACTGGGTCCACAGAAGTCCACTGAACATTGTAGGGCTTAGCTTGCCGCTTCATTGCTGCTTTTACCCCACTTCCCCCCATTGGTGATGTGTGTGGTCACCAATTAGAGCATGCATTTCCATTGAGTCTTAGTCTTGGAAGGGGGTTTGCGTTGAGAGGACCTCCAACACCATTCTTTTAACCCCATTATATTACAATATTAATATTATAGTAAGTAATTTTGTCCCAGATTGGAATTTTAGACTTGGAAGACAACAAAACCTCATTATATTATTCCTGAATTCTTCCAGTTCTAAAACTCCAGTCCGGGACAAAATTCCTCTTTATCTGTTAATCTCTAAATACAAATTATCTGCTTCCAAATACAATGGTGGAAGGCAAAATATATGCCTTTCCATTACAAATAGAAGCAGTTGGAAGAAAAGAAGAGATGATGGTACCAAATAAAGGAAAGATCCAGCAGAACAATTCATATAGCTCTTAAGTCTTGAAAATAATGCTCTGTTCTCTGAGAGCTTCTAGGCAATGACCCTGCCCTGTCCCCTAGATTCTGGTGTTGGCCATTTACTCTGGATTCTGGGCAGAGGTCCCTCAACCTTGGGCTTCAAGTCTTCCCTGTAGGCCCATTGGAAAAGCAACTCTGCTCCTTTGGTTGAGTGCAGCCCCATTCTTTTCATCTGTCTGACTGACCCCTTGGGCATGGCACCCCTGCCCCCTCAGGTTGGAGCAGAGGTCCCATCTTAACAGCAGCCCCACACTCCAGAACTGAGTTGATGAAGAAGATCTGACTCTTTGAAACTTAGGAAACTTAGAAACTCCAGAGATTATGGTTTCAACCTTTGAAAGGCCATAGGTCATGGTCCCATCTTTTAACAGAGGCAGCTCCGCTTCCCATGCTCCTTGTCTCTTTAGTTTTGCTTCCAGGTTCCTTGGCCTCTATTCTATTCAGACAAATGTTATAAAGCTTTAGCGCCACTGACAAGTGCCAGAGGCTCCACTCCAACAGGAAGCCTCTAGCTCCACGAGTCAGCTCCCATGCCATCCTGTATTAGCCTCCTGGTTCTACTGCTGTAGTCTCTCTGCCACTGCTTCTCATTACCTGTGCTGTCTCTAGTGGTGCCGTTCTCCTCTCTTCCCTCTGAGCCCTCAGCAGAATGGCCTTTGACAGCCATCATGCCACCAACAGTCTCTTCCAGGCATCCTAGGTTTTTATTATTAGGCAGCTTAGTACTCTTACAGCTTCTGCTCAATAACCAACTACAAAACCACTTCCACATTTTAGGAATCTGGTAGGTCAGCACCCCATTCTCAGTACCAAATTTTTAGTTCTCTGGTAGTGGTGGTGGTGTGCCGTGGAGTCGGAGTCAACTCATAGCAACCCTGTATAGGGTTTCCAAGGCTGTAAATCTTTATGGGAGCAGAAAGCCTCAACTTTCTCTCACAGAGCAGCTGGTAGATTCAAACTGTTGACCTTGTGGTTTGCAGCCCAGCTCATAATCCATTACACTACCAGAGCTCCTAGTGCTGCTATAACAGAAATACCACATGTAGGTATGGCTTTAACAAACAGAAATTCATTCTCTCTTAGTTTACAAGTCTGAACTCAGAGTACTGGCTCTGGAGAAAGGTCTTTGCCTCCTTTCAGCATTCCTTGGAGATCACCGTGTGTCTTGACATCAATCTTCAGCTGGATCTAGAAGTTTCTCAATGCAGGGACACCAAGTCCACAGGATACACTTTACTCCCAGCTCTTGTTTCTTGGTGGCAGTGGGTCCCTCTTTCTCAGCTCATTTCTTTCTCCCTTTATATGTCAAAAGAGATTAACTCAAGATACAGCCTAAAAAAAAAAGATATAGCCTAATCCTGTAGGTAGCATCTGATCTCATTAACATGTTGTTGTTGTTGTTAAGTGCCGTCAAGTCGGTTCCGACCCATAGCGACCCTGTACAGGGTTTCCGAGGGTGTAAATCTTTACGGGAGTAGAAAGCCTCATCTTTCTCCCGCGGAGCGGCTGGTAGTTTCGAACCGCTGACCTTAAGGTTCGCAGCCCGATTTGTAGCCACTACGCTACCAGAGCTCAGAAGTGAGAATTTATTAAAATGCATTGTGCAATTGAGTCATGGTGTGGTGCTGTAGGATAAGCACTCGACCATGGGGTCTGTTTGAACCTCAGTTACATCTGATCAGGGCTGATCACCTGAGATCGTTTCATAGGAGACATGATTACATTAGCTTAAATCTCATCATGGAGAATGATGAGATTTAACTGCTGAACCACTGAGAATCCAGACTCAGTCACGTTGACTGTAGCTATCATAACACCTTTCAGGCAAACAATAGATTGGTCCATAAAATAAACAATGACACCCCAGGGAAATGTGTTCCTTAGAACATTTAACACTTGAAAAGGAAGATATTTGCCAAAAAGAAAAGCTGAGAAGGCAGAAGGTGACAAAATCCAAATGAAAGAAAATGAGGAACCCAGAGCAGAAATGGAGAGTGCTGCTACACTGTGGGGAATACAATCAATGTCATGGAACACTTTATGTTCAATCCATCGAATGGGAAACTAAATTGCTCTACAAACTTTCACCTAAAGCAAAAGAAAAACTTACAAATTAAAAAAAGGAAACTTCATTTTTATGAAATGTTCCCCAACCCAAATTTTAGCATGGTATGGAAGTACCTATCTACTCTTTTTCATCTCTTTCTGTTCCCTCACCCATCATTGCACACTCCAGTCACGGTGAGTTACTAGCTTCTTTCTTTTCTCTGAGTTTTTGTACGTGCTCTTCCCTCTACTTGGAATGCTTGTGGGTGAATTCCTGTTGGTCCTTTGGGTCTCAGCTTAAATGCCACCTCCTCTAGCTAAATTTTCATTAGACTTGGAGCTCCTTAGGACAGCACTGCCTCTTCTCTGTTATTTTAAAGAACAAGGCTTGGCACAGAGTAAACCTCAGTAAACGTATCTTGAATGAATGAATGAATTCCCCCAGAATGTCTGTTGTAAAGAACGATGAAAAGAGCAAGTACCTCATATGCTTTCTCTTTCCACATCCAGCATTCTCCTGGTGTGCAGCCTGCAGATGTGGAGGAAGTTGTCAAGAAGGGTGTGCAGACTCTTGTGATTGGCCGAGGAATGAGTGAGGCCTTAAAGGTAGGGACAGCTGTGTCCAGCATGCTGATAGCTGTTGGTACTCTGTTGGACCTTTACCTTACGTGTCCACTCTATATATCCTGTGCACTCAGCTGGCTGGGCCAGCAGAGGACACAGGAAAGAATAATATCCCCTACTGCTCATTTTCAAGGCTAGACTCCTCTTTCTTCCTAATCTTGAGGTTGTGTTGGTTCAGCTCTTGCTCAGCAATGCCTCCTACCTGGAGGGCTTATTTCTAGAGCCCTACAATTACCGATATCAGGATCTTCACATTTTTATAATACTTTATCTTAGATACAATCAAGTTCTGGGGTTTTTTTGCCCTTTCAGGGAAAAAAAAATTTAATACAAAAGTAAAACATGCTCATTGTAAAATATTCCAACAGTGCAGAAATGTAGAAGCAAAACGGTGAAAGATTTCCCCTCCCCAATGTCCACATTTTGTGTATTCTGCTCTAGCTCTCCTTATATGCTTCTGCAAACATATACACACCTACACAGACACATGTATACGCTTAGAACCTTCTTACATCTTTATGGTCACACTCTATATTATTACTCTGTAACTTTCACTATTATTATGGGCAGACTGCCATATAAGTATAGAGATCTACCTTATTCTTGCCTTTGTATGTTGTTGTTGTTGTTGTTGTTAAGGGCTGTCGAGTCAGTTCTGACTCATAACCACCCTGTATAGGGTTTCTGAGGAGTAGCTGGTAGGTTTGAACTGTCTAAATTGCTATTCACAGCCCAGTGCTGATCCTACAGCTCTATACCAGGAGGCCTTCATTTGTATGTTGTTGTTGTTTTTAAGTGTTGTCTAGTCTATTCTGACCCATAGCGACCCTGTATATGGTTTACAAGGAGAAGCTGGTGAGCTTGAACCACTGACCTTTTAGTTCAAACAACTTTGCAGTCTGATGCATTAGCCCACAGCGCCACACCAGGACTCATTTGTATAGGTATCTTAAAATACAATTTTCTACTAATAAAGGTTCTTTATATTGATTTATATTCTTCAGTTTCAACTAGTTCTTTTTCCCATGAATATAATTTCTATCAGTAAGGCTTTTGTTCTTGTTATAAAATCTTAAAAAAAAAAAAAGAGAAAATAAGGATTTTTTTTTTTAGCCCTTTCTGAGAAGACAGAGTCTAATTAAAAACCCCTTAGAAAAAAATTATTCAGGACAAGCTAGACTTAAGAAGATACCACACAATAATAGCTGTCCCTTCCTGAGGGCTTTTTATATAGACTCATTCACAAAGTATTTATTGAGCACCTTTTATAGGTCAGGCACTAATCTATGTCCTGGAGACATTGAGATAAGCAAGACAAACAAGGTTCATGTCGTTCCTGGATAAGAGAAAGGCAGACAATCCTTTCAGATAGAAATGCTGTGGAAGAAATTAAATGGAGACTCATGAGGGGCTGCTTTAAATCAGTGTTCAAGAAAAGCCTTTCAGAGGGATGCCATCTGCATTTCCATTGAGGTCCCCCTGGCAAGAGTACCAGCGAGCCAGCCACAGCAGAGAAGACTTTAAGAACTGTTTAATCCTTGGGGAACTGGATAAACCCCAGAGACATTCAGCTGTTTTGCTTGTCGGGC